GAGAGGAGAGGAGAGGAGAGGAGAGGAGAGGAGAGAGGGAACTCTCCAAGTAGTAATTTTTAGTAACTTTTCAAATACAAGCGCAGTGCCCTGACGTGGATTCCCAGCCCCAAATCCTCATGCAGAGAGGGTGGAGGCCAGGAACACCCTGGGCCACTCCACCCTGCTGTTCTGAACACAGGGAGCAGACCCCAACCTTGCCCTCGCTCAGGGATCAAGGCCACTGTCCTGTCTCACAGGTGTGAAGCCTGAGCACCACAGTGGCGAGAGGGACCCACAGCAAAGGTGGGGCTCCCCACCTCCCTTCCGGGGAAGGCCCTTGCCAGCAGTGGTGTGTGGAGGGCTGCAGCCACCGCTTTGTGCTGGACTCTGGGGACGTGCCAGGTTCACATGCAGCCCAGTGCTGCCGCACAAGGCCTGGGATGGGCTCGGTGCTCTGACCATGCAAAGGGCCATGGTCCCAGACAAGGGCTGGTGTTATCTGCTGCACAGCCCCCAGGGCTAAGTGACATTGAGAAAGGGGACCCGAGGGGTGCACGGGCCACCAGCCAGGAAGAAGTCACATTCAGGCACCTCTGGGAACAGGATACAGAACAATCAAGAGGGACAGTGCTGAACCCAAGCAGGGACCTGTAATTGAAGTCCTGTGTTCCCGGGGCCCACAGCCATCACCCTCCGTACCTCTTGTACTCTTGAATGGCGGCCACCACACTGTCACAGAGTGGCTGCAGGTCAGGGAAGGCGACAAGCTCCTTCAGCTGGGCCTGCAGCCGGTCCACCCGTGGCTCCTCAGAGGCCAGCGCCGCCCGCGATGCCTGCAGGACAAGACAACCCCCAGGGGGTGATGAGGCTCCTGCAGGGGACACTGTGGGTATGCAGGGCCTGAGCGTGACAGCCCTGTGATGATTGCAGCCATCCTTAGTCTCCTCATGACGGGCACTCAGCTTGTCTACAGTGGCTGAGGAAACTCAGGTCCCAAAGACCTGAAAAGCCAGTTGAGTGTGCTTGAGGCCTGATTCAAGCCTCCCATCACGCTCAACAGCTGCCAGCAACCACCCCAGGGCCCATGCACCTGACAGCTCCGAGGCCTGGCTGCATGCCACTTACCGAGTAAAGCCTCCAGCGGGCCACCAGCTCTTCTTCAGTCCCTGCTGCCGATGCCATCGCTGAGGGCTCCAGCCCGCCCTGGGCCAGCCTCTGGAGTCCCTTCCGGAACTCTCCAAGCTCGGCCTCCAGCCGCCGCAGCTGCTGCTCACGGGCACCCTTGGATGACAGCAGGCCCTGCAGCTGTGCCTCCTCCTCCTCCCAGAGGACCCGCTGCTTCTCCAGGGCCTTCCGCATCTCCTCCAGCTCCCTGGCAATTTCCTCCGCGCCCATGGGGGAGGTGTTCTGTATGACGCCCACAGAACACACCTCCAGCCTCCTCAAGGACGCCTCACCCTGGGAGAAGTCCTTGGCAATGTCCTGCAGGGGACGGGGACGGGTGACAGGAAATACAGAGACAAGCAAAGGTCAGCACCAGGAATACCATACGGAGTGCTGGAGCTGAAGGGGCCCAGCCAAGGGGTGGATTGTGCCCACAGGAGCTGTACTCCTTCCCAAGCCTTCTTGCAGCCTCTCTGGCCCCAGCACTTTCTCCATTTGTTAATCTTCCTTTTCAACAAACATCAGCAGGCAGCACTATGGTGCCTACCAGAACCTATCAGCACCATTTGGATTCGCAGGGTTTATTTGCATGATTATCTACTCAATATGAACAGTATCACTTTTCCCATGTACTACAGTGATTTCAGTTTTTTTCCTAAATAATGGCAGTATGTTCTTAAAAGGTAAGGCAAATTAAAGACAAATATGAAAGAGGCAGGCCCAGTGTGGTGCACAACTATAATCCCAATACCAAGGAGGCTGAGGCAGGAGAATCATTTTGAGTTTGAGGATAGCCTGGACCGCACAGCAAGTTCAATTTTAGTTGGACCTACACACTGAGACCCTGTCTCAACCCTAAAGATGCACAGGTGCCTTACAGTTGTGGCCTTGGATTACTGAAGAGCCACATGCTAGTGATAAGGTCCAGAGCGGACACCGACCTCCCAAGGACAGGCCTGATGGCCACGCAGGGCTCTTATCCCTGGTGCTGCTGACATTTGGGGGGATGTCATTCTCTGTTGTGGGCGCTGTCCTGGCTGGTGCAGGGCTTTTAGCTGCACCCCCGGCTTCTACCCACAAGCGGCCAGTGGCAGCGTCCACCCTCAGCTGTGACAGACAAAACTGTATGTGGATGCTACCACGTGCCCTGCCCTGGAGACCTGTGGTCCCCAGGTCCTGTTGTCAAATGCCTGGCTGGCTCAGAGATTGCCATCAAGCGGAGAGCTCCCACTTGCTTGCCCAGAACCCTCTGACCTGAAGGGGTATCTGTGTGTCCAGGATGCTGCACCTCACAAGGAAGTGACCTGAGATGCACCGTCGGCTGGGGACTGCGGAGCTCACCTGCAGCGCAGAGAGGCGGTGCTCGGTGGACAGCGGACAACCACCGCCCGCGCAGGCCTGCAGCTTCTCCACCACCGCCCTCAGCCACTGCTGGAACTGGTCCACGCCCGCCTGGTACTCCTCGTGCTCCCGGACCACCCTCACCAGCAGGTCCACACGGTCCTGTGGAGGAGAAACCACACCCACCGTGAGGGTCCCCAACCTTAGAGGCCAGCAAGGCCACAGCTTGCCTGGATCTATGTCTGCCTCTGGGAGCAGATGTGTGAGTGGGCGCACCAGGGACGTAGTCAACACTTGGCTGATCCCTGCACCCGAGACAGAGACCAGGGCCGGCCGGCCTCTCGCACCAGTATGTGCCAGGGGACTCCTGGCTTAGAGATCCAAGCATGTTGACCACAGACACCTCGTCGCCTTCACAGCTGGCATTCTTCCATTCCTGTCTGAGGAGTGCACGCCAGTGGGGGATGATGACAGAGATAATGAAAGCGATTCTCCAGTAGGGTGTGGGGTGCACACCAGTGATCCTGGCTACTCAAAAGCCTGAGACATGAAGACTGCAAGTTCGAGGCCTTCCTGTGCACATTAGGGGGAAGACTCCATCCCAAAATAAAATAGTAAGTAAAAAGGGCTGGAGATGTGGCTCAGTGGTTCAGCCCTTGCCTGGCATGCACGAGGCCTGGGGTTGCAGTCCCCACGACTGCAGGGGGGAAAGAAGACCTTCATTTTGCAAAGGAGAGTGAACCCAAGCGATGGGCGGGTGAGACGGGGAAGCAGAGAAGTGAAAAGAATGCAGCTGTGTCTGCCAGGAACCAGCTCCCCAAGCAAACGTGATCATCATGCACGAGTAGCACTTTGAACAATGTAAAGGTCCGAGCAAAAAAGCCTTGGAAAGAAGAATCTGAGCTCCTTGAGGGCGCCTGACCCAGGCCCCCAGGGGCTCCCCTTACTATTCTGCTTAGGAGGCCTCAGAGAGGTGAAGGTCTCCAGGAAGGACAGCCTGAGACACAGAGCCAGCAGGCAGGGCTGGGGCCAGGCGCTTCCAGCAGGGCTGCACAGGGGTCCCCAGGGCCTTCCTTGTGCAGGCAGCGACCTCACTGCTCTGGCAAAGCCTCCCCATTGGAGACAATCCCACCACCTCCGGGGGCAGAGCAGTGACACCGGGGCATTGAAAGCGCCCCTGCTAGGTGCTCCTCAAGGCCGGTTTTCAAAGTGTCCCTCATCACAGCTGTCTCCTTACACCCCTCTGCAGAGCCCCAGGAAAGCCCTGAATTCTGGCAGGAAAACCAGGTCCCCACCGGGCGGCGCTGTGGCCTCACCTGGCTGTCACATATCCCCCTGTGCCCTAGTCCCCACTGCCAACAAATCCTGAGCGGCGGGATGCAGGGCAACAGCACAAATAGTGCCCCAAGCAGAGAAGCATCGATGGCTGAGTCACTGCCTTCCCTCTCCTGCTCCGTGCCACTGCAGCGGTGCCCCAGCAGGTGCCCAGCTCAGCACCCATGCCACTGCAGCGGTGCCCCAGCAGGTGCCCACCTCACCAATCATGCCACCGCAGCAGTACCCCACCCAGCAGGTGCCCAGTGTACCACCCATACAACTGCAGAACCCCAGCAGGTGCCCAGCTCACCACCAAGGCCCCACCTTCTTCCAACACTCTGTCCTCTTCCATAGACTGAATCAGCCACTTTCCCTCCGTGTTCCCAAAACACCGGGATGCTACTCGATCTTGGTACCCATCCACCAAACTGTCACCCACTGAGGCGACCAGGAGGTGCCCTATGGGTACCTCCATGCTATGTTCTCTGCCCGGGCCCAGCTCTAGGCAGGCCCTGTGCCTTCCTGGGTGTTTGTCTTTGGATGGGATTTTTATAAAAGTAAAGAAGAAGAAACTTGCATTGAATGGACAACGCCTACTCTCTGTGTGGCTGTTCTGGTGAGCTTCGCTTTATCTAAAACTCCCAACCCTCCAGCCTGAACTGCACAGTGAGACCTTGTCTCAAAGAGAGAAAAACACATTTAGCTCTCAGGCTACAGCAAAGCAGAGGTGAGCAGGCCTGGTGCTGGCGCTGTCCTCTGCTGACTCTGGCTTTGGCCATAGAGGAGGACACACCCTGCCCCCACCCTACCCTACTCCTACCCTTCTGTGCTGCTAAGTTCCTGGTGGGAAGAGCAGATGGGCAAGGGGGTGTGAGAAACATCCCAAGCAGCGATTTCTACACACTTCCCCTTCTTCCAGATGCTCCTCACCAAATCTAGAAATATTGATCCAGATCTAGAAATTAGACCTTTGCAGCAACAACCACAGTGAGCAGGACACTCTGTGTGTGTGTGTGTGTGTGTGTGTGTGTGTGTGTGTGTGTGTGCATATGTGTCCACATCCTATCTCCTCTTTGGACTTTGGTGACCCTCAGGAGCTTGGTGACTCTACGACTCAGGAGAAAGTCCCTCGGGAATGCAGGGGGCTGCAGGCCTGCACATTCCCTGCGGCTTAGCTTGCATCCGTCAAAACTCCCCAGTGTCCCATCTGGGAAACACAGGGGTGCGGAGTAGCTGCCGGCTGTGCTTGCCTCCCTGGGCCGCTGACAGTGATGAAGGTGGCAAGGAGAGGGATCAGGGCATGCACTCCCTCTGAGGAGTGGCATGGCAGGGCATTGAGCCAGCTGGGGCGGGTGCCAGGCACGGCAGTCACAGCGCAGTCCTGCCTGCCGCCAGGGTGACAGGATGACGAATGGGCCATGCTCCACCTCCTCGTTAGACTGAACAATTAAGCCATCTGGACCAGCAGAACTGTCAAGAATGTCAAAACCCATACAATTAAGGAGGGCTGAATGGATTTATGTCCCTGCAAAGGGCGGAGGTCGTAGGTCTAACTTGGCCTCAGACTCTGGGCACTCCTGCTACAGGGCCACCAGAGGAGGAGGAGGAAGAAGAGGAGGAGGAGGAGGAGGAAGCTGCTATTTGCAGCAGTGGATTAAAATCAAATAAAAAGAGCCTACAGCCCCAGCCTGCCCTTCTGCCCTGTTTCTAATACTTGGCATTGCTAGGTGCCATTTTTCACCTCTAGCTTAGCCTAGTGCCCTAAGCAAGGATCTAGGGCAGTGGGGGGGGGGGAGTCACAATCAGGTGGCAGAGAGGTGACCAGGCCTCACAGTGCCCACCAAACCATCCCACCCAGAGCTAGCAGAGTACCCTGGAGCCAGGGCCAGTACCCCCAAACCTCTGGAGCCAGGAAGAAAAAGTAAGCGTCCACGGGCTTCCACACACAGATGAGAAGGCCAAATGGACTGGCTTCTCCATGTAGGGGCCAGCACCCCTGCACGGGGCCCGAAGTGACCGGCTGCTCTGGCAGCAGGGACCGTCTTCTCCATGCTAGTGCTGTGCCTCAGCAGGCCTCAGGAACCCCCAAAGCAGGAGCCCCAGACATCCCCATTCGCTACTGCCTCTGTGCTGCCAGCCCAGCCCTGGGAAATGCCAGAGCCCTGGCCTGGCTCCTGGGCACAGATGCTGGGCCCAGGACCCCAACCCAAGGTGCAGAGGAGGTGGACCCCACCCTGGGGCACCAGAACTCCTAGATCCTCCTGCTGGGCCAAGGGGCTCTGACCCGTGACTGTTTTAATCTTAAAAATGAGCCCAGGAAAAGCTTCTTCATCTACTGCATGAGAGGGCTGGGAACAACTGAATGAGGTCAGAGGCAGAGAGAGGCAAGTAAAGCCAGTACTCGCCGAGAAGAACTATAGCTGCTAAGGCTTTTTGCCTTCTGTGTCTGGAGTCTCCCAAAATGACATCTAGATTTTGCATCGGGGAAGAACTGGGGCTCACCTGGCACCCCACACACCATCTCCCCCCCGCCCCCCGTCCCCAGCACTAGGGGCTCCGTCTGAGAACAGGCACAAGCATCTGTTCGTGCAGAGCCGCAGGGAGCCCCAGGGCTGGGCCCCGTCCCGCCTAGGCCTGAGGAGAGGGTTGTTCGCCCTGAGCCTGCTCTGCCGCCTGGGTCCAACCACACGCAGCGCTGCTACTATTCTTGCTTCTGCGGACAAACGAGGGCATCTTCTGTCTCCCTTCAGTGCTAGGGATTGAACTCAGGCCTTTGCACACATTGGGCAAGGGCCCCACCACTAAGTCATGCCGCCTGCCCTTTTCATTTTAATTTGAGACAGAGTCTCACTGCTCACTTAGTTGTCCAAATCAGCCTCAAACTCATAGACCCTGCTGCCTCAGCCTCCCAAGCAAAGGCCATCCTTTGCATTGAGAAAGCACCGGTCAGCTTTTGAAAGCTCGCGCATACCTCACTGGCCCTCCAGCCTGGTCCTGGCAGGGGAGCTGCCCCGGGGCACACAGCAGGGGGCGGCAAGCCTCCTTCCCTGGCTCTCAAGGGCAGAAGGGTCCTCCGCCTCTGCCTGGCCTACAGCCTATTTCCTTTGGGATGAAGCTGCCAGGACAACTAGCACAGCACCCGCAGCTGCCAGCGGAGCAGGAAGACACACGGAGCACTTAGGACCGCGGAGCACACACCCGGGCAAGGGACACCCCACGGGCAGAAGCTGACGCCACGGAAACAGGCCGGGTCGCACTCTGTACCCATGTCACAGCTCTCAGAAGTTGGGCCAGACACTCAGGCTGGAGCGGGGTGGACTTGGGTCCAGGGGCCCAGCGGAAGGCAGAGCCCACAAGAGTCCCCTACCTCATCCCAGGAAACACGCGGGTCTATCGCCACCACCTGAGAAGGGTGCTATGTGTTTCACATCAGGTTTACAAACAAGCAGCCAGGCGTGGTGGTGCACGCCTGTCCTCGCAGCATTCAGGAGGCCGAGGCAGGAGGGTCATCTTGAGTCCAGGGCCAGCCTAAACTACATGATGAGACCCTTCTCAAAATGACAAATACACACCACCAATCGCCTTTCAGAATGCAGAGCCAGGGGTCTGTCATACGATTTGGAGCAGAGAACCCACTCAGTTCAGGAACTCCTGAGGCAGCACACGGGCCCAGCCAGGAGTCATGCAGGGAAACTCCCCGAGAGCCCCGCCACTCTAACAGCAAGCTTCAGCCAGGGCTATGAGGCTCACACCGGGAACACCAGCTCCTCTGGAGGCACAGGCAGGAGGATCATGAGTTCCAGGCCAGCTTGGCCCATTTAGTGAGACCCTGTCTCAAAATGAAAAATGAGCCAGGCAGGGTGGTACATGCCTGTAACCCAAGCACCCCAGGGGCTGAGGCAGGAGGCTCACAAGACTGAGATCAGCCTGGGCAACTTAGTGAGACCTTGTCTCAAAATAAAAAAATTTAAAAGCTCAGCGTGAAGGCGCAGGGTTCAACCCCAGCACAACCAAAACAGGAAAAGGGCCCAGCTCAGGGCGAGGCTTCTCCAGAGTCAATCCGCAGTACAGCAACATTCAAGGGGCAGTGTCCAGCCATGGCGTGAAGACAAAGCTCTACTGCTGGGGATGAGCCTGCAGCTCCAACTTCCAAAGTTCCAGTGGTCTACCAGGCCAGGAGCACAACGACAAGAATATCGGAGTCAGGCATGGTGGGTGGCACATATCTATAATCCAGCACTCAGGAGGCTGAGGCGGGAGGATCGCCATGAGTTCAAGGCCAGCCTGAGCTATATAAAGACCTTCTCTCAAAAAA